AACAAGAATGAAATGAACAAACAACAAGGCGCTTAAGACCAAACACTAACAATTCAGCTTTTACTACTATTCCCTCAAGTATAGTATCTGCTGGAAACATTCCGGGAAATGCGATGTGTTATACGTAATTTTGGTGTGTTTACAGTAAATAGGGAATTAGTTTTTTGTTGGTACACAGAAACACAGTGTTTTGGTAGGAATTGTTTCAATACTTTTAAGCAAAACGTTCGAAAAAAGCTAGTTGTTGTTCGTTTTTCGGTCTTTTAGTTAGATGGTAAAAGTGGGCTGTTATGGATGTTTGTAAAAGGACGAGAGCGATTATCTGATGAAATCGACTAGTCAAAGGCTAGATGCGGAATGAAGAGGGGAATTGACCGACTAATGTGTATTTCGAAATTTTTGCTTAATTTTCATTTTTCGGTAAAAATTTTGATAATTTTTCAACGTGAAAGTTTGACAAAGACTAGAGTCGTCGGTTAGGATAGAAACACACATTGGTCGACTCAGTTTTTGATCCTGATTTGCATAAAAGTTGCGTTCAGATGGAGAAAATTGAGAATTACGAGCAGAATTCTGACTTTTGCTGCAACATTTCTAATGTCAGGATGCCCTAGGACACTTTTTTCGATCACCTAACATTTGGGCGCATGTACGACAAAGATTCAGTAAGAGCGCATTTGTTAAAGTATGATGCATAACGATGAAATTTTCTTTAAACAAACTTGGTACGGTGTGAGAGCTTTTTCTATATTACTCATATCCCACTGTGATCACTTTTTGTTTAACCTTCATCGATACTCACGCTCACCCGTGCGCCCAAGTGTTACGCACGCCCAAATGTCAGCGCCCAAGTGTCGGTACACTGTAATGTTGGAAATTATTTCTAGAAAATACTCGGCGATTTTAAAGTCCCTATATAAATTCTATGAGGATTTTCTAGATTTTAGAAATCGAATTTACAAGAACCTTGAAAATCGACCTCGTATTTCCAGAATTCTGGAAATTCTCGGTCGATTTTCTATATATAATTCCCAAGATTCTTGAAATTCGAAGCCGATTTTCCAACATTTGAGAAATTCTATGGGGAATTCCAAGAACCTTGGGAATTATTTATAGAAAATCGACGCCGAATTTTGATACTTTTGGAAATTCTATGGCGAATTTCTGAATAAAACGAAAAGTCAGTTTATGGAAAATAGAAAATCAGAAATTTATAGAAAACTAGAAAATTGATAGGGAATTTATAAAAGTCAGAAAATCGCCGGCGATTTTCGGCATCAATTTTCCATAAGTGAGAAATTAATTCCAAATTACAGTGTATACCAGAATATCTAACGAGAGACTCTTTTCAGGTGTCCGACCGTTTTCTAACGAAATGCGGTAAAAATGGTAGTTGATAGGTAATCGACTATACTGATTCTGAATCCGTTTTTGCCCATAGGCCTTTCCTAACCGAAAACCTCGAAAAATCCCCAAAAGTTTTTCTGAATAAGGCACAACTGTAGCCCGCGAAATGCTGATTAAAATGAGACATCTCCCAGCTCTACATGACCTTTCTTTGCAAAGCTATAGAATTCACAAGAAAAGCCCTAAATTCATCTTTCCTTCTTCTTCCTGTAGCTCTGATGTGACAATAAACATTTAGGGCTTTTCTTGTAAAGTCTATAACTTTGCAAAGAAAGGTCGTGTAGAGCTGAGAGATGTTTTATCTATGCTAACGTAGAATTCTATACATTTCCGCTTGTCTCCAACCCGGCTTATATGTGTAGTAAGGTAGAATTCTACGTTAGCATCGATATACTTTTTATTGACCAAGTTTGAGTCAAGCGGAAATGTATAGAATTCTACAGAATTCTATTACTGACTAGGAGTGGGGGCGGGGAAAGGCTGGCGTGCATGACAGTGAGTCCCTAATCAACTATATTCTTACTAATGTAGAATTCCATACATTTCAGCTTGACGCAAACTTGATCAATAAAAAGTATGCTAACGTAGAATTCTATCTTACTACACATATAAGCCGGGTTGGAGACAAGCGGAAATGTATAGAATTCTATAGAATTCTACGTTAGCATAGATATACGTTTTATTGACCGAGTTTGAGTCATGCGGAAATGTATAGAATTCTACCTTAGTACACATATAAGCCGAGTAGGAGACAAGCGGAAATGTATAGAATTCTACAAAATTCTGTTACTGACTAGGAGTGAGGGCGGGGCGGATCGGGCGTGCATGACAGTGAGTCAGTAATCAACTATATTCTTACTAATGTATCTTGGTCAATAATAAATATATCTGTACTAACATAGAATTCTATAGAATGGTATACATTTCCTAGATTTCTGTTTTGAGAATAACTCGGACTTATCATGTTTCAGCTGTGAAAAAGTTGTTGTAGAATTCATAGGGAAAATGTAGAATTCTTTAGAATTCTGTAGAATGTCTGAAATGTAGGAATTCTGCCTTTGCCTATCTCTTATTTCCTGTTTATACTAGCAATAGTAATACATGTGATGGGACGCGTTGATGAAAAGACAACACTTCGATTTTGGTTTTCAAATCCTACAAATGCAGGGAAAATAAGAGAAGTCCTATTGAAGCAAGGCGCAGCACTTCTGTTTGGCTCTCATTTTCCTTCAGTATTACGGAGTAGCATACTCTCTGAATAAAAAGGTGCCGGGTAGAACCTTTTAGGGCTCTAGAATTGGGTAACATCTTATGAACCTTGTGAAGGCTCAAGACACGAAATATGGTTCTATCTCCCATCTTTTTTTTTGACTGGAACCATTTTTCCGGAAAAAAGGCGCGAGATAGAACTATATTTCGTGTCTTGAGTCTTTCATCATGAAATGGTACTCGATCGTAGAACCGTAAAACGTACTATCCGGCACCTTTTTTAGAGAGTAGCCCACTTTAAGTTTTAGTGTTAATTCTAATTGCTTTTTCAACGATAATTTCTTTTTGTTTAGATGCCGTTCATGTTGTTAACGGAAAGGAATGTTTCTTGAACAATTCGAATATTGTGCGGAAATATTGTACATTTATATCATTTTTATCATTGATAACAGTATAGTTCAAGATTATTAACCATATCATTAAGCTAAGGCAAATATCTTGATGGTAGTTAGTGGTAAAAGGAACTGATGATTCAGCTCTCCCAACTAAGGATTTTTCCCAGCTTTTTCCAATAGATTTATCAAAATACTTTTTTGAAAATCATGTATTAATCTGTTAGATTTTTCACACGTGAAACAATTCGTTGACTCGTGAATGAGCGTGGAAGATAACTTTGCATACGGAAACACGTGTGAGGTATTTAATGTGATCACGAGTGTAACAACATTTTATATAGGTGTTAATGGCATAAATTACTACTTTTTCAAATTGTAACTCGTCCATGAGCGAAAACACTTTCTTTCACGTGCGAAAATGAAATAAATTCATGTCATCACCAGAGGTGGCACAAGTCCGACCATTTCCAAGTCCAAGCTCAACAGAAATTTATTTTGTCAAGCCCAAGTTCGAGTCGAAGTTCTTCATAACAGTTTCTGTACTGCACAGTACATCATAATCATATATGACGGGTAAATAAATTTTATCGATACATTGATGCATATTGGACAAAAAAAGATTAATAAACTAGATATTACTTATTAGGTAAAACTTTCTGCTTGTGTTCACTGGTGAAAGTTTAATTAAAGCCCCTTTCTACCGTCACCGGGCGTGGAAACAATTCTCTACGCGCGAACATGATGCAGATGGATTCAATACTTGTGTGTTCGCTCCGATGAAAAATATTTCATAGCATACCAGCAATCAAACTCTTCCTTTTTAGTAGTGAAATCGTGGTTAGCATTCATGCAATATCACACAGCATTGCTTGTTGGTGATGACGTGAGTATACAGCTTGTGGGAGAAGAACCCCTTAAATTTTTTATCTTAGATATCAAAAGTCTTTGGTTTTTTCCTGTCTTCAGAACAGCAACGGTGAGATTTTTTGAAATTATTATTGAGAATAATAGAGAGAACGAAAGAAACAACTTATTTTTAACATTATGTACATTCAATTAAGTACAGTACCTCTATGTACTGTAGATTACAAGAGAGAAATGAACAAAGTAAAAGTAATGTAACAAATAAAAACCAAATGAACAATAAGTTAATAACCAAATTTTATTGTTCAATAAGCATTCTATTCGTTTTCTTACACAACTGTTCTGTTTTTTACAGTTAAAATGTTAAAGATAGTGTATGTTTATTTTGTCACATAGAACTATGTGCAACCTCGATTACTCATAATTCTCTCTTCTGCCAATCAACACCTGTATATGAGAACAATAAATGATAAAAGCCGATGCCACGGGCATCTGTGTCAAACACGTTCACCTAATGCAGGCGTTCTAGTACTAACTTACAATCATACTATTTCGTATGAAAGAGATCAAGAGGGCTCCTCCCTCAGAAAATCGGTATTCCCAGAGATGACGTAACCATATGGTCGAGTAACCCTGGCATTTCTCTTCCAGAAAGAATCTTTGTTTTTGGAAAAGTCGATGCTTTAGTGGTTTCTGAAAAAGTTTTCTAGAAACCTAAAAAAACGATTTTTAAAAACTTAAATTTCTCCTCTGATTTTTTTAAATGTGTAGTTATGTACAGCGGAGAGCTCTGATCAAAATGAAACGTCCTGAAGCTCCCTTCTCGAGTTATGCGAATTTTACTGAAAGCCCAAAATCATCACTAAACTAATGGCGTTTTCCTTGTAATAGGGGTCTCACGGAGCAAAATTGCTACTCCTCCTAAGTGGTTCATCGCCAGACCTTATTTATTTTTGTTTTGTAACTATGATCTTTACCCAAAAAAATTGTCTGTAGCGGTTTTTAAAATTCTTTTCCTGAGCCGAGAAAATTGGAAACTACCACCCCAGATTTCGGAGTTATTTCGCGGTTTTGACTTAAAATGGGTATAGAAAATGAACGGAAGGTTATAGGATTCATCGCAAAAGTACTGCAATGCGTAATTGCTCTATGAGGAGTAGCAATTTTGCTGCGCCCTTTTTGTCCCTTTAGACCCCTATAACTCGGCACCCCTCCAAGCGGTAGCGCTGAAACCTTCAGCATAACCTAGTTGAATGACGACTAGTAATCGCTGAAAAATTTATCAGAACTAGATGTGTAACAAAATAGCTATTGTCTGTTGGGGGTCTTTAATAAAAAGGATCGTTTCTTCATTTCTTCAAACCGAAAACTTTAAAGTCTAATACTGGTTAAGCTCTACAGTGAAGTAAAACAGGAATGCGGCAAATTTTTCAATTTCAAAAACTTTATTTTTGATGCAAACTGTTCTTCTCAGCAAGCTGTGGAAAAATACACGTTATGTAACACACTCCTCATCTTATTGCATCTGTTGCTGACATTGTTCTGCAGCGCCATCTGTGTGTATAATGAATTGGTGTATAAGATTCATACTTGCTATAAATTTGTTACTACGATTTTATAAAGAAAATAAGATTTAATTTACAGTTTATGATTCCTATGCTTATGGTTTCCTAAGAAAATCTGATTGGAACCCATCGCTTACGTCGACATGTTTTTTTTCTACATGTTGGCCTTTTCGTCATTTATTCAATCCATACAACGTAACAATAAGTTTTAAGGACTGTAAATTCTGAATGAGTTTCTTAGTTCTGATTTGTACTGAAGTTGTAAACAGAGTGATATTAGCCAGTTGGTATTGGAGGTATGATCAAAACGTAGTTATTGTAATCAAACTGGCGAAAGTGCCACCGAGCGAAGGATACAGCAGCTCCATGCAACGCACACATCTGAGAAATATTTTCGTCTTTTTCACGCAAAATAGACTTCTCTTTGAATCTGATCGTTCAAAGTATCGATTTGAACCCACAGAGCACTTCCTCTGGAAATTCATTCCAATCTTCGCAAAACATCTCTAAACCCACGCCATAGTGTGTTATTTAGAGTACAATCTTGTACTTCTGTTTTTTAGACATAATGCCTGTTTCAAGACATTTCTGGTATAGAATTTGGGGTTATCATCGAAATCCATATGTATTGAAAGCGAGAGGACTTTATTCGCGTCGTATTGATCAACGTTTACGAACGTATCTTGTCATGGAACATCACGGTCCGGGAAAAAGTCATGCACCAACAGCATATGATGTACTACGTGAACCACGATATAAAATTAAATGGGAAAAAGATTGGAATGAAAATACAGAAATTGATAAACAAAGTATATTCAAAGAAGTTCGAGAGACACTCCGGTATAAAAGTTAACAGTAGACAAAAATACTTGTTTTTGCTTTTATTTGTGTATATTCTTTTTTTTGTAATAAAACTGAGCAGGTCTTTGTCTTTTATGCTTTAAGTAATGATAATTTCTTCTCTTTTTAACAAGGGATTTTGTCTGCGTTAAGACTGAATGTGGGCTAAGCCAAGGTCAACTAACGTACTTATTTTTCTTCTTACTGGAGTCACTTTTTTGGTTTTGAGCATGTTGAAATCATTTTATATATTTCAGATTAAATTATTCTTCGAAAAACGATCAAAAATGACTGTCGTTGAACAACCCTGCTATACGTTGATCAATACCGGACAAGATCTCGAACCACCATCGGAAATGGACTTGCGTGTAGATCTAGAGAAAGGCAATGATAAGGTAAGTAAGAACAATCTTCTTCAGTTAACATCTCTATTATTTTATTATTTTTGTTACAGACAAAAGCCGAAGCGTTAAAGAAAGTCATACAAATGATGTTAAGTGGTGACAAATTTCCATCTCTATTAATGATAATCATTCGTTATGTGATGCCATCTCAGGATCACACAATTAAAAAGTTATTGCTGATATTTTGGGAAGTAGTGCCCAAACATTCAGCTGATGGCAAATTGTTGCACGAAATGATATTGGTTTGCGATGCCTACAGGTTCGTAAAATAGAAGAACATGTCAATAATGTCACGGAATTGCGAGTTTACTCTTTTAGTCATGTTTTAAGACTAACTAATTCAGCATGTTTTTTCCTAATTTATTTAGAAAAGATCTTCAACATGCAAATGAATTTATTCGTGGTTCAACATTACGCTTTTTGTGTAAATTAAAAGAACAAGAATTACTTGAACCATTAATGCCATCGATACGTGCATGTTTAGACTATCGTCATTCTTATGTTCGTCGTAATGCTGTTCTGGCCATATTCACTATATATAAAAATTTTGATTTCTTAATCCCTGATGCACCAGAATTAATAGGAAAATTTTTAGATGTTGAACAAGATATGTCGTGTCGGCGTAACGCATTTATGATGTTAATACATGTTGATCAAGAACGTGCATTAAATTATTTGTCGAATGTTATTGATCAAGTACAAACATTTGGTGATATTCTGCAATTAGTTATTGTCGAATTAATATATAAAGTTTGCCATAGTAACCCAAATGAACGTGCACGTTTCATTCGTTGTATTTACAATCTCTTGAATTCATCATCACAAGCCGTGAGATACGAAGCAGCCGGTACACTTATTACACTATCAAGTGCACCGACAGCCGTTAAAGCAGCAGCAAGTTGTTATATTGATTTAATCATCAAAGAAAGCGATAATAATGTGAAGCTAATAGTATTAGATCGTCTTATTCAATTGAAAGATATACAAGCACACGAGAGAATATTACAAGAACTTGTGATGGATATATTGAGAGTATTGCAATCACCGGATATTGAAGTTCGACGAAAAACATTACAATTAAGTTATGATTTAGTTACATCAAAAACGATTAATGAAATGATATTATTACTAAAAAAAGAAGTATCGAAAACCCACAATGCACAAGAACATGAAGATATTGAAAAATATAAACAACTATTAGTGAGGACATTACATCAGTGTACAATGAAATTTCCAGATGTGGCCGGTACAATTATACCAGGTAACAATCATATCTATATTTTTGGCGAATACCAATTTGAAGGAATAAAAACGTTTCATCGCAATTGTGTCATTTTTGTCCTGTTTCACAGAAATGCAGACTTTAGTTCACGAAAACGGTAACTGCAAGGGATATGTCAGGATTTTAGATTTTCGTCGTTCTGATAAGATTTTTCAAAAGGTACTGTAAAAGAAGGTTGCATCTTCTGCCGTTTTATATGATATTTTTTGTAAAAATTCTTTAAGCCGCCGAACATGGTTCTAAAGACTAAATATTCATTTTGAGACTTGTGCCTCCACCTTTCTTCTTCACTTCAAGAAACGGGATAATTTTATCTAGATTTCGGCGAATCTTCGTCTCGGTTCAGAAGAGTTAATAAATTCTAAAAGTGCTACAATTGACTCAACAGCATAAGACTTTCATATATGTTAAAATGGAGTTTATATGTATTTTCTATTTGTTTGTGCTTTTTGTTTTTAGTTCTGATTGAGTTTTTGGCTGATACAAACGAATTAGCTGCGCTCGACGTATTAATATTTATTCGTGAAGTAATACAACGATTTTCGAATTTAAGAGATATAATAATTCAACGTCTATTAGATGTTTCTTCTCAAGTAAAATCTGTCAAAATATTACGTGCAACAATATGGCTATTAGGTGAATATTGTTTAACAGTTGAAGATATTCAAAATGCTATGACATTTATTCGTCAGTCATTGGGCGATTTACCCATTGTTGATGATGAAATACGTCGTTCAACAGGCGAAACAAGAGATGATGCTGATACAGCAATGACCGCCAATGTCCAACCTTTAGTAACGGCTGATGGTACCTATGCAACACAAAGTGCATTCGTTCAATCACCATCAAATACAGCAACGTCTCGTTCCACAACATCTGATCAACGTGGTGGTCGTACAGTACCAACATTACGGTCGTTTTTGTTAGACGGTGATTTTTTTATTGGTTCAGCTTTAGCCACATCATTATGTAAATTAGTTATAAGATATATCGATTTAGAATCAGATCAAATAAAACAAAATCGTTTTTCTGCTGAAGCCATGTTTGTTATTGCATCTATATTACATTTGGGACGTACAGGATTACCTAAAAAGCCCATGAACGAAGATGATCATGATCGTATGTTAATGTGTGTAAGAATATTAAATGAACGTTTACCTCTAGCATTCCACATATTCAATGAAGAATGTCGATCATCATTAGCTGAAATGTTGACAACAAAAGCACAAGAAGAAAAAGATCTGGAAAAAAATCTTTTACATGGAAAAGTAAGAGGTTCAAATTAATAGACTAATCGGTGATTTGAGTATTTTTCTAAATATAGTTGTACACGCAGCCTTTGTTTATGATCAAACGTTTACCGATTTGTTTTCATGCTGCAATTACTATCTAGTATCAATTTTTGTTTAGACAACATCAGTTCAACCCGATGATCCAATACGTTTTAGTCAATTATTAACAGCAAATGAATTTGATGAAAAAGAAGATATATTAGATACAATGTTAAAACAAGCCGTTGGCATCATTCAAAAGAAAGATGAAGATATATTTAGTTCATCAAAATTAAATAAAGTAACACAATTGACCGGATTCAGTGATCCAGTTTATGCTGAAGCCTATGTAAATGTTAATCAATATGATATTGTTCTTGATGTTCTAATTGTTAATCAAACATCAGATACATTACAAAATTTAACATTAGAATTAGCTACATTAGGCGATTTAAAATTAGTTGAAAAACCACAATCTATCACAATGGCACCACATGATTTTACAAACATTAAAGCAAATATCAAAGTAACATCAACAGAAAATGGCATCATATTTGGCAACATTGTTTATGATTGTGGTAAGTGCTGTTTAACGCTATTTATCAAACCTTCAACTGATTTTATGTTTAGGTGGATCACAATCTGATCGTAATTGTGTGGTATTAAACGATATTCATATTGATATCATGGATTATATTGTACAAGCATCATGTAATGATAATGAATTTCGTCAAATGTGGATTGAATTTGAATGGGAAAACAAAATAGTTGTTAATACAAATATAAAAGATTTACATTTATATTTACAGTATTTATTAAAATCAACGAACATGAGATGTTTAACACCGGAAAAAGCCTTATCAGGCGATTGTGGATTTATGGCTGCAAATTTGTATGCAAAATCAATATTTGGAGAAGACGTATTAGCCAATGTTAGCATTGAAAAGTCAAGTGTGAACGTTGATGCACCTGTCGCTGGTCACATACGAATTAGAGCTAAAAGTCAGGGGATGGCATTGTCAATGTAAGTAGAACTCCGAGAGTAGTTTATGTTCAATAGCTTATACTTTTTCTGTTTCTTTAGGGGTGACAAAATTAATATGACACAAAAATCTGGTTTCAAAGGTTTGTCAACTATGTCATCGTTGCATAAATAATGCAAAATTTAACAGAAAAAGACGGTGTTTCTCTCTTCTTGTTTTTAGTTCTTTATCACGTTCTTCGTTTTATCGTTGTATGTCTTTATCTCTTTAATGTTCTTTTTGCTCTTGTCTCAAAATATTTATCCCTTTTATTTGTTAAAGAAATTTAAAAGAAACGTATGTAACGGGTTTAATGGCTTTGTTTCGCTTTTTTTTTTCATAAATAAATCTACCTAAAGTTTTTATCATATGTCCGCAAACGTTTGTTGTTATTAGAAATAAAGTTTGGTTGGAATAGCCGAAAATATTAATGATATAGAAAAACTAGAGTTGATAAATGTTTGACTTTTTATGTAAAAAGACAATCTTATATTTATTTAAATCTTGTCGAAAAAAGATTAAAAGAATTTGAATTATTTAATGGTTAGTCACAATTCTGATTGTCTTTTTTTATCAACAAATATAGACCTCGCTTGTTCTCTTCAGTTTTTTGAAGTGTAATCTTTCTTTAAAATCTTCTGACAAAAAGAGTGTTGTTGTTAAATGATTTAGAGGCAGGTGGATTAATTCTCAAATCTTTTTTAAACTAGTAACTTAATCATTTTTTATTATTCATAAAGTCTCTTTTGGTAATTAGAGAAACTAAGTTCTCAAATAAATGATTAAATTCGACTATTGCTGTCGACAAAATCGTCAGTCTCTGCTACGACGAAAAGAAGATAACATCAAGTTTTTTCTGCTTATGTAAAGTTCTAACTGTATTACTGGGAATGTTTGGCTAGAACGCGCAATTCATCTAATCTTCAGACGAAAAACTCAGTTTCCTGATTTTTCTACAAAATTTTCGATAAAAATTACGATTTTTAAGGTAGCGTTAGATTTTCTCAATGAAGCATTTGAACTTGTAGCAGCATTATTTATCTTTGCAGAACGTATTCTAGTGGTTTACAGAATATCTTCATTGTGTCTAACCAATTTCAGACAGAAACAAAAAAACATAAGATTCAATGGATGACAGGTGGTGATAGAGGAATTAAATCGATACTGTCTATTAGCCGAATTTTACCCTACTTAAATTTATACGATACAGAGATCTATATATATAAAGAAGAAAGTTTGTTTGTTTGTATGTTTGTTTGTTCTCTATGCATTCAGTCCCTGTAAGAGCTAAAGCAGCCAAAATTTGCATGGCACACCCTTGGGTCCAGGGGAAGGTCAA